CCGCACGTGCTGCCAACAACAACAACAACAACTACAACTACTACTACTACTCCTCCTACTCCGACTCCTACTCCTGCTCCTGCTCCTACTCCTACTCCTACTCCTACTCCTACTCCTACTCCTGCTGCTACTACTACTACTACCACCACTACTACCACTACCACTAATCTTATTTCTATTCCTGCTGCTATTCCGACTACTACTAAGAAGTATGACAGTAACTTTACAAAACTAACACTATTCCTAGACTATTACGATTAGTATTGCTATTTATCGTGGTTGCCTGTTTGTTGGTATTCTTTTGTGTTTGTCGCAGTTTCGCGTTCTTCGTTTCTTCCTACTTTTCGGGCTGTGCCTGCTCCTTTGCGTGTGCAAGGCAGCAGGATGTGTGCCTCACGGCTGTCCTGTGCTGTCGTGCGAAAGCATGCTTGCATCATACCCTGGCAAGTTGCATGGTGCAGCAGCTTCCCTCCTCACAGTGCTGATGGAGGTTAAGCTTTACCTCGCCAACTGGCATTTGCGGTGCTACTCCGTCGAAAATACTCGTCACATCACTACAATGTCAATCGAATGCCCCGTGCAACAGCTTCATCCACAATGTGTCAAGTCGCATCACGCGCTGCGGCCTGCCTTCTGCCCGCCCTGATCTCTTTTTGGAGCTTCGATGGATGGTAAGCGACATCCTGCGATGCTTGCAAACTTCCATTACTGGTTGTTTTGTCATCAGGGGGTGCTTTGATGTTTTCGCCATCAAGGACCTGAAAATGCAACGAGACGTGTCCTCGAGGAACTCGTGCAAGTTCAAGTCATGGAGATCATGCAAGGCTCTGTTTGGTGGAGACGCGCGCCATTCCGAGCTCTCTTCAAAGCCCCTCGAGCAGAAGGATTTCCAGGTTGCCTTTGACTTCTCAGCCTCGATTATGGAATGCATTCTGACATCTTCGGCTTCCTGGTCTTCCCACATCCCGGGACCAGTCGGAGTCGGGTCAAGCCCTTCCTCCTGGACTGTGAAGCACGGGAGCGCAGGGAGCGGATCCTGTATAAGCTCGCCAAAGTCGACCGGTTGACTAGATGGGGCTATGCTGTTCAAAGAGACCACGTCGATGCCACAGAGCTTGTCTTCTAGCTGGTCCGCTTTCTCAGCGACACCACCAGCCTTTTGGAGGAGCACCATGCCTGAAAGGCTCGGCGAGCGGCCCAGTGTCTTGGTTGTGCTCTGCTCACAGGTTGGCCTCAAAACTCCTCCTTGAGCCTGGAAACTGACAGAGCTCGCATGTGCAGGCTGACATTCAGAATGCAGGTGCAGCTTAGCATTGCAGGCTACACCTCTAGACCACAGGTTTATTGGTCGCTGCCTTAGCGAACTATTCCTGCCTGCAACTATGATGACTATGCAGGCCAAGTTCGACTAGATGAGCCTAAGCCCGGCTCCAGTCCATGCCAGCCCCGCACTCATCGACGATGACAGTGTGCACCCGTAGCTCTGTGCCCATTGCCTCCGTCAGAGCAAAAACCACGAAGGCCGGAGGCCAGGCTGTGCTGGAGCTATCGGATGAGGCAGCGTGGCACCCACTCTCAGAGAAGCACACAGCAACATGGACCTTCCAAATTCAATGCGGGCATGTGAGCGCCTCCTCCCACTCGCGCAACATGCCTGGAAATGTGACACTTGCGGCGACTAGCTGCTCCAAAGCATCACACAAAGCCGCTGTCACGGCACGGCCTGAATTACCTGTCGAGTCCATTCTGTTGCGCCACCATGCCGCGAAAAGCGAAATGCAAATGCAACAGTAGTCTGCGAGTTAGGTGCCGACCTTGAAGGCAGACTGCAACACAACCCCTCTAACGGACTTAGCAGTAGCCTTGATTTTGCTTGGCTTGTACTGTTAACTTGTTAAGGGTATTTGTAAGCCACGCATTTTTTAAGGCCCAAACTGGCTGCTTGGGGCCCGGCGGCTGGTGGAGGCGATGGTGCAAAGCAAGATTCGAGCTTCGTGGAGAGTGGCCTGCTTGCTGTCCTGTGCCGCAGCGGAGAGTAGGACTAGGAAGCCACTGTCTAGCGGCATCTGGCGGTGGTGCTCTGGTTGTCCGTCAGTCGATAGATTTACGTTTTGCTGAAACGATGGGATGGGTGCTCCAGTCTTTGCGACTGCGATCTGGCATCGGAGTCGAGCTTCTTGATGGCATCAATCACCCTAACTTCCACATTGCTTTACTTAGCTTCTCATCGGAACTTTCCTGTAGAATTGCAGATGCCTGTGCACGTTGGCTGCACCATTCAGGAGAGGCAGCTGCCGCAGCACAGTACCTGGCCGTGCTGAATCGGAAATCTTCTGCTTCCGGCGGAGGCTCATCACGGCTCATCTGCCACTTATCCGCATCTCGGCATGGCAAATCGGAAACAATGCGCGCACCTCTCCACGCGTAAGCATAAGTCCCGCAATGCGTAAGCCTTGGTGACAGCTTCGAGCACAGTCTCATAAATGCGTGAACAACGACGACATACAACAGCAGCCCGTCTGGAATGGCACTGGCGACCTCACATGTCCACCACAGCTCTCTTCATGCACACTTATGACAGCTCATGGGCACCCGGACCAAGCCGAATCGCTTGCGGAGGAACGCGAGCAGGATGCGCTCGCCTCGACGGCCACGGCAAGCCGCCTCTGCACATGCTGTGTACAACCCAAGTTAATAGTAGCATCTTCTACCCAATTCCATGACGCCAAATAGGCGTTTCATCAAGCTTCATCTACACTACCAACCAACTACAACTCGGAAGCTCTCGTGCAAGTGGCAAAACTCTTTGAAGGTCGCTGAGCCCTCCTTAGCCCACCAAGCCTCCTTTGTGGCTATGGCGGCCGAGAGCGCAGCGCCGCGCTCTTTGGCGGCTTGGGCTCCACGACGACGTCGGGGCCTTCCAGTGAGGGAGGCTCGGCGCTCTCTTCAGCTCAGTGCTTTGGAGCCAGACAAATTCTGCAGGCTTCGCGGTTTCGCTCCGGACTCGAAGCAACTCTAGGACTTACAAGTCAATTTGGCGTCAATTTACACTAGGGTGCCCTCCCAGCAATGTCAGTACTGGAAGCCTGGAGCTGCTAGTGTCTTATGGAAACTTGTGCTCTGAGTTCGCGGCTCGTCCAGATGTCCACCAACCTGCAGAAGTTTCGCCGAATACGTCAAGCTTCTACTCTGGCTGCGAGACTGAACCACGAGCTTGTCGCCTCCCGACAACATCCTCGGATCCTGACACTCCCCGTGTCCCTTCTGCTCTCTGCACGCTGCCACGTCGGACTCACTTTTCTGATCCTCAAGGAATGTTTGTCCTTCTTCTGCCAGGTGTGTCGCGTTCGTGAGACTTGGGTGGCGGATCCTCACATGTCGTGGCTGATGCCTGCAGTGCCTCCATTCTAAATAGAGGGCGGGTTTGACCCTGCAAGCGATGACAATGCATTGCTCTGGATTGATGCCTCAGAATTAGCAATCCTTCAAAGGGCCTTCCGACAGGATTCGAGTAGTAGGGCGTGGGGTTCTCGAGCCAGCATCTGCAAATCACATCCTGCCTTGAATTTGTGCCAGCAAAGTTCGTCGCCATGGATCCCGTAGCAAGCTGCTGCAGTAGTGGCGAAGCGATAAAGTCGTCCAGCATCTCTGCACCGCCCCGTGATGTCGGAAGATGGACCAGGCTGCCAGGCCCTGCAGCCTCTGCCTTTCGAGTGGGCACCTGTCCTTGCTCTCGAAGCCTTCAGCTTGAAGCCAGGCTTTAAGTTGTCTGCGGGGCCGTGAGCGGGCATCTCAAAGCACAGGTTTGTGGGTCGAAGTCTCGCCAGCGCTCCTGACAGCGAAGAGTGTGAAGCTCATAACTAAGCTGAGCCCGGTGTTACGAAGACTGTTGAACAGTTCGGACGACAGCTCAGCACCTTGTTCATGCGATGCACGAGCACTGTCTGGTCGGTGCATCCCCTGGAGAAGGTGCTGCCTGCACATGCCAAAAAAAAGAAAGGACGCTCCTATTTCTGCTGCAAGCTCTTCGAAGACGGGGCTTCTTCCTTGCGGCAAACTGCCTATGAACATTCTCTTTGATCCAGGTAAACAGCTGATCTTTCACCACATCTATTCCGCAAGACACATTCCCAAAGCTTATCCTGAGGAATGCAACTCCTCGCCTGCACTGAGACCTGAGACTTTGTGGGTCCAGGGCCTAGAAAACGATAGCAAGAAGTCAACAAACCCCGATCCAACCTGGCATGGGATAGTCGTGGAACTGTCCGTCTTTCATATCAACCTCTGAGGTTGCCAAGGGTTGGAGAGCGGGCATTCAATCGAACCCTACCGCCGTTCGGAATGATTCAGCGATGGCATGGATGCTGCCCCACAGCTAAACCTGAAAATGCTGTGACTTGCGACGGCATCAAAAGCATCCACTTGCAACGCGGCAAAGCAAGCTTCAGTTTCGCTCGACTCTCCAACTGTCATGGCCCTGACGAGTACGCTTGATTGGGCAGCCTATGCCCAAGCTTGCAATAGTTTGAAGGACCGCTCCAATTAACCTGCAGACTTAAGACTTCGTTGCCAACTGGGTGCCAAGTCTCTTTTAGCGGCGGAAAATCGGGCTTCCTTTAGGGCTGTTTGCCCAACATTGCCGACATGTAGCCGACCCTTCGTGCTTGCGCTTGCGTCTCGAGCCTCAGCAGCCGATCCTGCCGAGTTGGGGATTGCGTGGACTGTGCGGCGTTCTTGTCAAAGGTCGACATGATCTTCCGCGAGGCGCCAAGTATTCGCGACAAAAGCCATTTTTCCAACATGCTGTGGATAAAACTGCAGTGCCTCATGGTCGCTTCTGTGCATTTGCCACATCTGCATCCTGCTGGCGATCTTCTTGGCCAACGACCGTTGTGCGCCCATGCTTCTCGCCGATTTACGTCGACCAGTCCGTCCTGCTTCTGATTCTACTGATGTGATGGGCCAACACTACCAAAGAAGCAGCGGCAGCGAGCCGCTTCCTACTTGGAAAAAGCGGCAACAATGAGCAACAAAAAGGAACAGCCTCTTGAGCGCGATGAACCATCCGAAGGTGCGCTGAGTCTCTACGTACTTCTGTCTTGAAAAATCTTGGAGACACCGGATCTGAAGCGGGACTCAACTCAGATCTGACTTTCAACCGGAAGCGAACTCGGGGTTCGATCTTGCAGCGGCAGAGGCATAATTTGTCCCAAGACGAGAAGCCCAGTCAACACCTTCGAGAGGAGCAAGCCAGAATCCAAGCTGCACATCTGCCGCACCTTCCATGCTTCAATGGAACCCTTACGTCCTTGCAGTCCTTACGTCCGTGAATCTGCCGAATCAAGAATCTAAAGCCCTGCGTGTGCACCGTGGCACAGAGGACAGGCAGGATGAAACTTAGCATCTGAGGACAAACAGCCATGCCAAGCCACCTTGCTTCTTCAAGTCACCGACATTCCTCGCCAAAAAATCCACGATTCGTCGCCCGAAGACCTGACAGGCATGTACTTTCGCAAGGATCCCACTCATCGGTGCGCCCGGTAACATCCCTCTCAGGATAGCCGTTGAAAGCGTTCTTCTCCGACCTTTGCCAAGTTGCCCAGCCCATGCCCAGAAACCAACGTGGTGCACCTCTGGCACCTCGGATCTTCGCCACGCTTTACTCGGCCCCATTTGCAACACAAACAAACGACTCAATTCTTGTCCTCCAGGCAAGACTTGCAAAGGATGCCCCGATTGCTGGAGCAAGATTTTTCCAAAATCCCATCGCGGTCTTGATGCCATTCATCGTTTAATTTTGGAAACACAGATCTCAGACACGGCTTATGCTGCTGCATTAACTATGGACAGTATATGCTTCAGCGTTGTTGAGACCTTCGGGAACAGAGCACATGCTGCCTGATTCCTGTCACTGCCTGTCACTGCGTCGTCGTAGCTTGCAGCCACCAAACGATCTCGCGCAGGAGCAGAGTTAATGGCTTTTCTGTGATGAATTCATCGAACCGAGGCACCGAAGTAATGCACCACCTGCATGGTGTTCACCTGCCTCAGGCTCAGAACCCCTCAACTGCTTGCGCTCTGCTCACTCCCCGAATTGGGCAACCGCAAGGACAAATCCACGGATCCGGCTTCGGACCCCGGGCTTACGATGCGGCCAAACGACACCCGCTTGACTTTGCTTTTGCTTAAGCTTTGCTGCCGGGCCGCGCTTTTCTCACACACTCCTGCGCAGACCAAGAGAGACGGAAACCCTGGACCTGTTAGAGGCTCTGTGACTTCGAGGCCATCCTAAACGCTCCTTTCACACTGCAGTGCTTGCAGTTCTGGGACTAGCGGCCCTAGCGGACACAGGCCTCCAGGGACGCTTCGGCAGTGTCTTGCCCGAAAAGCTTGCACTGGTGGATGAGAAACCTGCAACGTGCGGCGTCAAGGCTACCAGAGGAAAAGTGAGTGGAGTGGGTTCCAGGACAAAAAGACAAATGGCAGCAGCAAGAAAGAAAGGAGACACCCACACCCGACCACACTCCGAGACAAAAGCAACCCATCCCTACTCGAGATCATCGGGTCGGAAACAGGAAAACTCCTCATACTGTCTCAGGTCAATTCCCTGTCCTGACTACTACGACATCCCGGATCAGACAAGGGCAGCCTTTGGCAATTTGCTTCAACCTTCTCTCAAACCGAAAATGACTCGGACATGGTGTGTGTCTCTGTCCTGTCTGCCAGTTTATGCGCGTCTGTCTGTTTGATCCATGCTGCAGCCTCATGCTTGTACATAGAGACCACGGCAGGCTGTGAGAGCAGCTTGGGATTAGCAAAGAGCTACTTTGATTGAGGAGTGGCTCGTGTGTGCTCGCCTCCGAGGCCTTCGCCTGTAGAGTCTCCAAACATGCAAAGGTGCCATGAAGGTTTCTTCTTCGCCAGGAAGCGCGCAGCCGCCCAGAGACATTTCCGGGAACTTGCCACAGAAGGCCTTGAACGACTCATGTGCATGTGTACATCCCAGCTCACCTCGTGGCTCTGGCACCTTTCGCCTGCTGTATTGAGTGCATGCAGGCAAGCATGTTCAAACTGCAAACACAATTGCATTCTTGCATGCATGCGAATCACAAATGCAACATCAATCAGGCATGCGCATCCACGGACATGGGCACTTCTGGCGTATGCAGCCATCGAATTGTGGCCCATGACAAGATGGATAAGTGCGCATGTGTGTATGTAAGTGTGTATTCTGTAGATATATATTGCTTACTACATACAAATGAGATACTATATAGGTCTAACATAATGTATAATAATACGAAGGTATACCCATCCATCCATCCCTGCAGATACGTCCATCCATCCATGCTTCGATGCATGCATGCCTGAATCTACCTATGTTCCTACATGCCTATGTGTCTACCTAACTATACCTACGTACCGTCCTACCTACCTATGCACGCACATGCAGGCACGTCTGAATCTCCTCCTGTCTGCAGCTCGGCACATGTGGTACAATGTGTATAGGTACATATATAGAAAATAGAATATTTACATAATTATACATACACATCCTCGCAGAATACACACATGTATACTTTGACTTTGTATTTCTCCACAGATATAGACACAAATATAGATTCTAGATACTAGAGACGTACATACATGCATGTCTGAGCCTGCATGCATGCATTTACATGCACAGATATGCACACGCACACATTACAAGTCACGTAAACAGTGCAAACATGCATGCATGCCTCGGTTCAGGTACCAAACAAGATGACATGAAAGCATGTCTGCATAAGACTCGACAGGCAGATGCACGGGCGACCATTTATGCGTTGTGTACGCACAGGGAAGCACACGCATGCAATGTACATGTTGTAGGTAGCACTTCCAGTCACCAAGGCTACGCAATCTCCCAAACAAGTACACGTGTCGCTGCTAGAAGTCGAAGCCTTAGCCGCAGGGTTCCTGTTCACTGTTCACGGCTTTGGATTGGGAACGAGAGCTTAAAGACACGCCCCGACAAGCAAATCAAGGAGGCTGTTCAGCCAAGTTGCCTGAAGGAAACCATCTATCTGACACGCCTCGCCTCAGCAGCTGCAGAATGTTGTCACCGACCGAACCAATCCCATGAGCTTCCAGCACGCCGAGATATACACAAACGCACCGAAATTCTGAGTCTGCTCGGATCTCGAATTTGCAGCCGTGGGTTTGCAGGCCTGTCAGCACACGACATTCGCATGACCAGTCAAGTCGCAATTCAGCGGGCAAACTTTGCAAATGTGGGTATCCAGCATATCCAGTTCAGTCTCCATGATGTAGCCCATGGCAAGAGAAGGAGAATTGTGTACCTTCGGACAGGGCGGATGTACTTAGCTACAAGTACTGCACCCGAAAGGCGCCGTAAGGTCCCAGAAACGGCCAACTACTCACGATTCCGCTGCTGAGCGTATTCGCAACTCTTCGGCGAGTCTTTGCTGAGCTAGCGGACCTCCAGTAAGGAGAGCAATCTCGGGACGTTCAGGTAGCTGTCGTCATCCAAATACATGACGAAATCCAAGTCTGTCCTCTGGCATCCAGCGTGCAGGGGGCCGTGACAGTGCCGGAATTTCCGTGGTCGACCATGGCTTGACATCTCAACGACCCACGGACGCTCTAACAGCAAGTGAAACGATGCGTGACGGAAAACTTGGTGTAATACATTATTCTCATATTTGAGTAAGTGGTCACAAACTGCACGGCTGAACACATGTGTGTAGCATTTTAGGGGCCACCTCAGGGCTTCTGTTCCCAAACATGCACCGATGTCGGAGCTCCAATCCATCACCAATTCCTCTGAGTCAATCCCTGGAGCCGCCGATTTTGTTCATATGATACGATGGTCTGCTCATTCGCTGAATGCTGAACCTTCGAAGCTGTCGGGGCCTGTGCGTCGCCAGCCAAGCTGTCCCAACAGCAAGCCGAAAGCCCCTTGCAGTGGGCCGCTCCAGGACGTAGGTGACATCTCCTGAAACCAAGAAAGGCGCGAGACGAGATCGCATTCCAAACCCATCAATTCAGCTGCATGGTCAGGGCCCATACTCTCCACCGGAGGGTCTGCATCAGGTCCGCCGACAAAAATCAGGTCTCGGAACCTTGTCTTGCGGGAATCGCATGGTTGCAATCGCAAGTTCTGAAACAGACATTGGAAGGTCCCCCACTCGTGCATGCGCAGTCCACTCTCCCTGTCTCTCTCTTCCGGATTCTCTCGCGGCAAATTTCTGACTCCCGCTAGACTGCACCCCCTGATTGCGCGAGCACACCCCGCATGGAGGAGGGAGTTTCGAGGTGTGTGTACGTGTACAGTGAGCCTCTATCTGATCTGCCCTCAACCATCCGTCCGGCTGGTGACGATGAAATGGCGTCTTGACCACCTCTGTAGTCGGGGCATCAGAAGAAGTCATAAGCAGTAGAGTTGCAGCATCCAGACAAAGAATTCAGCAGTAGAGCATCATAACCCGAAGAAGTGCTCTTTGAGAGGAACGAGGATTGAAGAGCCAAGTGGGTATCCAACGGCTAAAAGAACCTGCTGCCATCTTACTGTAGCACGAAAGGTCCCGCCTCGGACGTCGCCCTGAAAGGCTCTGCCGTACAGCGACGGCGGATGCAGAAGGTTTCCCCAGTGCATGCTAAGAGCACTCCCCCGACAGTGGAAAGTCTCTCTGTCTTGCTTGCTTGCTTGCAAGGCGTTCGGGGCCAAGGGTTACCCCTCGAACCCCTGCGCGCATGCGCTACGCCGCTATCCTGTTTGGTTGGTCGGAGTGAGACTTCATGGGGATCGGTTGGTGTGGTCCCAGGCTAGCCCTACTCCCCTCATGCCGTCATGTCGTCTCCCTACCTGGGCCATCTCGCCTGTGCCGATCCCCTCTCTGTGTTACTGCTTGCTGTGTCCCTGGTCATTGCCATGGGTAGGCAGTTTGGAGCTTTGCGGCGGGGTCTCCGACTTAAATCAACAAACGCCTTTAAAACTCCAGGTCCCCGAACACATACTCAGACCCAGACTTGATGCCCCTTTGCCGCAGAACCGGGGTTAGTGTTGAGCCGCTACATGTGTAGGTTTGTGGTGCTACCGTTGCTTGTTTGAAGGCTTGGGTCCCCGATGGAGGAAACAAGAGGCAGGGAATACGTGACATTTGGTAGGGGAACGTCATACACTGTGACGATCTTGAAACGCCTCCCCTCCGCTCCCTCCCCTCTCTCTCCCTCCTCCCCATCGCCCCCGCGAAGTGACAACACCTACAGGGCGAGCAGCTTCTCCTCCTCCTCCGCAAGGCTTTGCTGCACATCGGTCGAAGCTGCTTCTAAGTCCTTTCAGGACTGAAGGAGAAATGGGGGATCTTTTGAGGACATGTCGTGCAGCCGAGGGTCACCCAAGAAAAACAGCAGCTCCACATCATGCCTGGCGACTGCATGACTGCATTGAAAAGTCGTGGCCCAGCAGCAGAACATAGCAGAACCCCGTTCAAAGGTTCTGATCACCAGTGCGAACCTTTGGAAACAGAAGATAAACCAGGAAGCGTACAAGCGACCGTCACAAGATCTGGCCCCCTGTCGCAGTTCCACATAAAGCCTCCATTTCGTAAGCCACGCTGCTCTTTGGGCAAATGGTGCAGACAGCTTCCGATGGCCTCTCTGAGGATCATCCTCAGCCGTACAAACTTGGATGGATACTTGGCGTGGCAGTGGCTGAAAGGCTTCAGGTAGTCCGCGTCCGAGGCTTTGCAGACGGCACACCGTCGGTCCAGCGAGGTCTGCTTGCTGGTCACCATGATCTGGACCTCTGCAGCATGCAGCGCTTCTATACCCCTATAGCCGGCCTTGTTTGAAGCCTGTGGGGCTCCTGCGTGAAGGCCGCCAGTCTGCACAAGCCACAGGAGACCACATAGGCACTGCCATGGCGCTCGCATGAGGGCTCTTTTGCGTGCGGCTCGAGTCCTGTAGTGATATTTGCCAAGGTCAGGCCAGGGTTTTGAAAGGGTGAGCTGTAATCCTCGCCTATTTTCCCCCAGATGGCTTTAGCTGTTGGAGGTTCCAACCAGATATGAAGCGGCAGGGCCATGTAGGTGATCCGGCCACTCGCTCTGGGCATGCAGCATGACATGGTACGATATGATACAGTAGAGAGTTTAGCTTGGCTTAGTAGCAACTTCGGCCGTCTGCGCTTTCAAACTGTTGCGCTTAGCTGCGATGCACTGGTTTGAGCACCATCCTGGATCGCTATCATAGCCAGAACCGCAAGATTGCAAGGACAGGACTTGTCCTGTAAGAAGCTCCAAATCGGGAGCCAAAATATTACAAATGCACATGCATCAGCGAAGATGATATCTTCACATGGGCTGCCCAATAATTCCTTCGTCCTAGTTTTGGCCCTTGGGCCGCAGTTGCGCCTTGTGCACCCTATATGTGTCATATTTCACTTTCACACGAATCCACGCGCCTGTGAGTCCAGCAGATATCGACGGGCAGTGCCACCGACCTTCTCTTGGTCGTGGGCTTTGTCTTAATGTGCAGTGATGCCAGTGATGCGGGTCTTTTCTGCCGTACGTTGCCTCTGTCGCACTGACTTTGCTCCTTGGTCCAGGCATGGCGGCATGTCTGAGGGGCCAACCCGGTCACGTGGGCCGAAGACGCACAGCGGCCAACCCTGCTTGCTACAAGTGCGTAGCTGGACGCCAGTGCGGAACTGCTGCTACATTAGTCTCGGGAGGTGTACTTGCCGCCTGTTCTGATGGGCTGGTCACTGTGCAGATTCAGCCATCCGCACTTGACCACGGTGCCTAAATCACCCTGGCAGCAGCCTGAAGTCCCTCCAGCTTCTGCGCGATGGATTCCACGGCGACGTTGCGAGAGCAGGTCACCTGTGGCGTGCTGTGTCAGGGCCTACAATCACAGAGTTGCAATTCTTACAGTGCATCTCACACCAGGGCTAGAATCTTGTACACAAAATCCGACTCGGCGACAAAAATCTCAGAAGAAACCCGCTCAGCGCTCGGCAGCAGTATGCAGAGGCCCCCTTTGGTCGCACTGAGCCTCCCACCAAGACTCGCTGACCTCATTGAGTTTTGGCTTGTGGGCGCAGGAGTCGGGCCGTTGAACATGAACCAGCTCCTTATGGTGTTGGTTGCACAGACTCCTCTACTGTACTCTAGAAACTCTCCCCGGCTCTTCCCGCGGACGCTCCGATTTCACGAGGCTCGGGCCGGCAGGCAGCCTCGCATCCTTGGAGAAACTTGACAAAATCAGACCGAGACGCGCTTTCGCGATCAGTGCTCACAGGTGCGGTCAGCTAAGCGGTCCAGCCAGGATGTGGAAGATGGTTGTCGACTTGCCAGTGCCGGGAGGACCCTGCGCTCGTGTCAAGACTCCGACCGGACCCAGGGCTGCTGACAGCCTGGCCTGGATCTTCTCCAAGGCATATTTCAAGCCCTCGATGGCGGCACGCTGAGAAGGGTTGACCTGGCGACTTCGCGGCTTCGGCAGGTCTTGCTGGCTTCCGCATGGATCAGCGGCAGATGGTTGGAAAGTTAAACAGTTGTCGTCTGAAGAGGGCTCTTCCTATTGAAAGTCTTGCCCTCCTTGGGGAAGGTGGCGGGGAGCAGCTACTGCAGTTCCAAACAATCGCGGACTCCACCAACGACTGCAAATATGCTCGTCGAAGCAGCTTTGCTGTTTGCATTCTACACAAGATTAACCTGTTCACGCCTACAGTGGCTATCTCAGCCCTTTTCTCGCTTCTGCAGAACTTCTCTTTGGACGTGCCCGATGCTCAGCCGAAGAGGTCGAAGTCCATCTCCTCACCAACCAAAAGCATTGAGATTCTGCATGCAGCGCGACGGGCAGTGACGAGCAGCAGTCTCCTCCTCTTCTTCCTCCTCCTCGACCTCCATACAGGTACGAAGGCAACATAAGGCAACACGTGACATGCCGGACCATTCATGGGCGTCCGCTCTTCCAAGCAAAGGGGCCGTGGGCAAGCAATCGTAAATAAGTCGCAACAAGGTACATGCAAGAGGCCGCATGCTAATTATGCCCCAGCAACTTGGCCGTGATGTGCGCATTCCCGCGACAGAAAAGGCTTCTTGTGGCAAGGACGGTTGATGCAGCAACTTCCTTCAACCTGCCAACTCCCGCGACTCAAAATCATTCCGCCTTCTTCTCTTCCTGCAGGGACGAGATCAGAAGCACATGTTGGAAGCGTGACTTCAGATGATCTTTGTCAACACTGTCGTCGGATCTGCAGTGGCTGAGGTGAATCTAGTGCAGAGGGCTCCTTCTTCGCCTCTGCCGCGGGCGCAGCGGCACCGCCACCGCCGCCAATTGCAGGGCCGCCGCCGCCGCCGCCAAAGCCCTCAAAACTGCACGGCACATCACATCAGGTCAGTCACCGTGGTTCTTCGGAGCCCCTGGAGATTCCAGGGCATGGTGCAAGCACTTAATATGTCTCTGTCGCATCAGCTTTGGCACAACTACGAGTGCTTCACTTGCGGCTGCTCCAGTTGTTCATCCCTGACCCATACGCGGGCTGAGCCTTCAGCTTCTCCTTTCCCTCAGCCACGACCTGGATTTAGGCAAGCGATCGGAAGACAAAGCCGACGTTCAATCGCGCGCAAGACCGGAACTGAAGGATGCCCTGAGCACACCCAACTCCCACACAAGAGGCCTCGTGCACCGTCTTGCCTTCGAGCCTGGGCTGTTGCACTGTCCGCTCGCATCTTGTAGTCGCGGCACTGTGATAACGTGAACCACACAACCTCATGCACCCTGACTTGAGCTGCTGGACCTGCACCCACTCTGAACTGCTGCCGAAAGGCTCAGAGACCAGCTTGCTGGCAATGCTCTCATCCTCGGGAGCAACAGCCAACACACATCAACAGGGCAGACCCTTCGGATCCATGAACAGCAACGGCGATGATCTTGGCGCTTCTTTTTCTTCTCAGGCGGCTGGCAGGAGCTATAGGGGATGATTGGAATTGCCTGTTGTCTTTGGAAACAGGATGCTACCAATCACGTTACCCCTCTGCTTTGTACAGCAATGCTGGTGTACAAAAAACTCGGCCCCGTCAGTGTCACATAGTTGTGCACCATCTCTTCCATTCTGCAGGGAGGGCAGTCTGAGCGAACCATCGATGTTCGAATGCTACAGCAGCAGTACATGCACCGTTCCACAGGTTGCGGCCTGACAGTCGCGTTCCAATCGTGACTGGAGCATTCAATCTAGGCAATCTACCTCCACTTCTGGAGACGATCTGGATATTTTCTCGACTAAACTTTGACCTCCGGTGTAGCAAGTGAAGCCGGCACACGCTACTGGTAGGTGATCTGAACCCAGCCACACGAGTCCGAAAGGTACACTGCAGTATCCAAGAAGCTCCGTCCCAACGCTGTCGCCCCAGCCCCTGGCCTCCGGCCATGTAGTACGGATTCTGGCAGGCAAGCCGGGTTTGAAGGAGCGCGGGAGCGACAGACTCCGACTAGACTTAGACTCACCAGTCTTTGCTCTCATGAGACAAGCAGACTACTGGCGATTTGATTGTAGCCAGCAACCTAGGTGATGCATCCTTGGGCGGTGGGACGGTAAAGGGCTTGGAGTTTCCACAAGAAATCGGCTGACTGAGGCAAAGACCCAAATGCCGTTGTGGTCGTAGAAACCTTCCTCGGGCTCCGACAGCCACTGGCTCTTACAAAAAACCAAACAATATCAACGAGTCGAAGAAGCTCGATCTTCATCTCCCAGCTTTAAGCTTTCGCTACTGCTTTGCTGCAGAGTAGGCGCATAGCATGTGTGCTCATCCTCGTCCCACCAACCAACGATATCCTGCTTTCCGATATTGTACTTCTTATCCAAGCCTTAGCTACGGTGGAACCTTCCTCGCATTTTCTAGCCAGCATCCACATCCGCATGCGCTCATTACGTAATGCTGGACGACACACTTCCGGAAAGTTGCTGCTAAAGAAGCCAATCAGCACCTTGGTGCATTTGGCTAGCAGTGCGGCCGCGAGGCATCGCTTTTCGTGCTCTATCCTGACAGCTTTGCGAAGACAAGGGTTGGTAGCCACCGTAAGTAGACCGCTGAAGTGCTACTGTTCCAGACTGGATTCATGATTCCTGTCACCGAGAACTGTCTGTGAGTTGTGCCAGTCAGTGACCTGCAGCCGTGGCACCACTTTTCTCGCTCGCGCCTCTTCTGCTCATGCAGTCGGATCCCTTCCTCGGATCGATTAGGAAAGAGTTCATCCACAGCTGACGGCGCTTGCTGGCCATTTTTGAGATCCCGGCTGGAGTGCAGCGATCCTGGGCTGGAAACGGGAACACAGCTGCTCGGGATGCTGCGCTGCTGCCAGCTCACTTCCAGCATCTTCGCCGCTGGCCCAGTTTGGTAGGTCTTGGAAGGGCCCTGAAGAAGGAAATTCTGCCTCCAAGCAGCGCGCAGCAATTGTTACCTAGTGGACCTAGATCTTGCTTCATCCTCAGAGGTGGCAGGGAGGTACTGGTAAAGAGTGCCTGAGGATGTCGCGGACATAGCCTGAGATTTCGAGGCTGAGTTCGGGGTCTCACGGCAGAAGCGGGTGCATGGAGGCCCCTGAACTCGTGCAGCCCTGATACTGTTGGTCCGGCGGCAGTCAAGGCTCAGATCCTCCTTGGGCTCGGTTTTATCTCCCACAGCCATTATGAATATTAGCCAATCTTCGCCTTCGCCTAGCTCGCAATCTCTCGCAATGCAGCCCAGCTTCCATGTTGGATGGATCCCGCTCGACAGCGGCCGCAAAGGCCCACACCTTGAAATCTTCTGCTTGCTCCACATTCGCTTTTTCGAGTCTGGCTGTGGCTTCCGATCGGACTATCTACTTGTCTGGTCCCACTGAGACTACCTGACTTGTCGAGTCCCTGCCTAAAACCATCAGAACATGCCAGCATGTCGCAGTAGGTTTTCACTACAGTTGTCAACCTCACGAAGCCTTACAGCAATTGCCCGTGCCCGCTGCAGTGTTCAGTATGCTGTGCATTGCTGTGCTGTGGTCGACTATACTTGCTGCTGGAGTCTGGAGAGATCAGCACAGTATCCTGCATACGACGCACGCAAGTAGAGTTTTAAGTAGCTGCTAACATCTGCTAACACTGCCTGCATCACGTTGTAAGCGCTTGACTTTACAAACCTTCTCCCAGCTCGAGACAAACTCTCTGGTGGCTGAGCTTCCTGCAGGCAGGCACCAGTGCCGTCGACCGGTGCCGGGCACGTACCCTGAAACAGTGGCCTGGGCTTTGCTGGCTGTGACCAGGCTTCTGGGCAATTCTTCTTCCCCTTCACTAGGGTGATTGCTGCACGACCCGACTCTGCTCCGTTGCTAGTGACTGCTGGCGAGCCTGGATGACTGTAAGGCAGCTAGGTTGTCTGCATGGAGGCATGTTATTTGCGTACGGGGCATCCCCAAGCCGGGCATATTGGCCATTCAAAAGAACAAGCTCTTTCAGGATTGCAGGCAGGTTCGCCCATCTGACGTTGCTTGCAGGGCTGCGGCTACGACTCGGACGAGCAACAATGTCCAAGCCATCCTCGAATTTCGACATCTCCCTGAATTCTTTACCTCGGCATGAACAATCTAACGTTTTCGAACTGGAGCATGCTGAGAGCATCGTGACATGGGACTTGCACAGGCACACCCGGCTACTGACCGCAGTCTGCCACAAACTCAGCATGTCTCAGGGCTCGGCTGAGCATAACGCAGACACCCTGCAAATGGATGGATCGTGCGAGATTGGACACAAAGCTAGATGCAGCCAGATTATTTCTTGCTTCTTCTAGTCACATTGTGGTCTGCAAGGCCGCCGAAGCTTTCCAAGCTCAAAGGCAGAGGACACCGGAGCTAACATCAACTTGCATGATTGCATGTGCATGCGCTCCGATGCCTGGCATGATCACACGACTATAAGTCGTTGTGGGAGGGCCATCTAACCAGCGTCTCAGCTTGCATGATCACTGACTTCTCAGAAATGTCCGTCATTCCTACCAGATGTGCCGACTCTGGCTCTGATGTCCGTCCCAGCTTTGGAGTGCGAATCGGCAGCCTATGCAAGCAACTGAGAAGACTCAGTCGCCTCCCCTCAGAGAATCCTTCCAAGGATCATTCCAAGGAAGGGCAAACGGAAGGGGCAAAGCTCTTAAGCGTATATAGCCCTCGAATTGTCTGGGCCAGCTAATTGACACTTCAATCGGCAGTGCGAAAACAGCAAAAAGCCATACGGGCGCGCCACGTTTCTTTACATGTAAGAGATGCTGACAGGTTCGCGAGTCGATTTGATTCTCATACTGTAATTAGCCATCGTTGCCGACTTGTCTTTTGTTCAGAAGTATAAGCAGGACTCCAGTCCGACCACTTCTGGGAAAAACTGCAGCGGTTGCCACAGCTCTGTTTCTCTGGTTCCTCTGCCCACATCCAACAAAGCGTTCACCACGCGACTTTCAAGCAGCGACAGTTCAATGTTGCAAAAATCCAGTAAGCACATGTCTGAGAATGCAAAGAGATTCCGACACATGAAGTAGGTTGACAAACAACAGACCGAGAGATGGGCGCAGACATACTCCGGCATCAGTGGTATCGATGTTATGCCTTCTTAGTCCACCTTATACTACATTAAACTATGTTGTATTAGACTATGTCTGATTATATTTGGTTGTATTACAGTATATCCGATTGTATTCTAGTATATACTGTTGTATTGCATGTATATATTGGTTTAGACTAGGTTAGATTAAGTTAGGCTGTGCCATGTTACATGACGTGATATGACACTGTAACACATTCTATTCAAGGGTACTTTGTTGAACTGTGGTATATTGTACTATACTGAGTTGTTTTCATATTGAAGCGTTTCACAGCATTTTGGATAACTACCCGCTCTCAAGAACTCTCAAGAAAAGAATTAACATGTCGGAGACCAGGATTACACATGATTGCGCTGACACTCAATCTCTTTGGTGGATGGGGAGTGCATAGCTCCGACAGCGGCGGTCTCTAACCTGCCGCTGAGCTCTGATGGAATAGGTGGTGCACCGACGTGATCCAGACGATGTACCGGAACTCCTGATCTCAGGAGCCAGGAATTAAACGGAGTCCGCTCGTGGTCCCCTGCGGGGCAAGGCTGAAGACTCCTCTTGACTCGAAGTGTGGCCTCCCTCTTGGTACGGCCGGCATTCGATTCGAACGTAGCCTCCAGTGACTCCAGTGCCGTCACTCGTGAAGGGTCGGCTGTTGTATTTTGGGAGTGTGGCTATGATCGTGGTCTCCTGCTCCGAGGACCTTTGGCACCAGATTGCAAACGTGCTAAGACGGACCTAAAGTCGCAAGCTAGGGCTCGGCTCTGGTCGCAGGGCCTCTCCGAAGCCGCGGGACCGAGGGAGCACTCTCCAGCGGCCAAGAGCCAACTCGAGAGTACAGGTGAAAGCGCTGAGCCCGAAAGGGCAGCGGCCTGGCTCGAACGGCTTGAATGAATCTGCCACGAGCTCCTGCACGCGGCATTGCGGAATTGTTCGACCCTGGCACATGCGTATCCCGAAAGACTTCACGACATTCTGAATTTCCTAAGGGGCGGCCCATGGGCCAGGGCTATGTGGACCCTGAGAATTTCTGTGTCCTTCGTCCGGGCCTCTCTGAACACCACTCTGGCCAGTTGATTTCTTCTTCTGGCTGATATTCGTACTATTGAATCCACATCGCCACGACATGCTATGACCAGCTTCTGCTAGCTTCTCATGGCATAGTTACAGCATACCTGCTACTGATCGTGGGTCCCAGGAACTTATTGGCTTCTTTCGCTCTCAACCCTGGTGAAAGCCACCACGATGCCCATGAGCGAGAAGCCGATATGCCACGCCAAGAAACTGAAAACACCGAATGCGAAAAGCCAAGAAGGTTTCTCAGAGGTGACAGAGAGAAACGGTAATCCGGCTTCATGCAACAGAAGTCCAAGACTGCAACCACGAAAAAAGCAAAAAGATAACGACCCGATCAGCAAGCCGTGGGGTGTCCTGCTCGTGGCATTCCCTCACATTCAAGTCACGCAGCACTACCTCGAGGCGATGCTGCGGTATAGGGTCTACAATTGCTGCACCTCAGCAGGGCTGGGGCGGGCTGGGGGCACATGAACATCCCAGTCCGAGAGTGTCTGAGGCATGTTAGACCATCGACCCTTCTGCATCAGTCGTGGTACTTGCCTCTTGTTGCCGTCAAGCAGCGCCGAAAGAGTTCGACCTTTGTCTCCAACCTGCTGGATGACCGCGTTACTGCCTGGGAACTGGCTCTGTAGACCAAGACTGAGCACTGACACGAAGGCTGCAGAAATTGGAGGCCTAGGCCTTGCCAGACTTCAACAGCAGGACTTCCGCAGGGGTCATGGACGGATGCTACGCTTGCTGAGTCCAACATTAGAACTTCTACAAGTAGTATCGCATGCGATCGGTGCCATCTCATAACTCCAGCTTCAATCTGGCCGATGCTCTACACCCGATGCACTTAACAGCCCAGCTGCCGTCAGAAAGGATCTCATGCGGACTTTGTGCTGCTCGTGTAGAAGTCTGTTTGGCGGAAACGCGTGCTCATGGTCAGTCTCAGCGGAGACTGTGCCATGTGACAGGAAGGAGTCGAACGTCCGCGTTCCGATGTCTTCCAGGTCACAAGCTGGGCTCGAAGGGCACATGGTGGAGCATTTTGAAAGATGCGCAGGTTTGCAATCAAAAGCTGGGAATAACTCATCGTCATCGTCTGCACCAAAATCAAGCTCCTCATCGCACGGTCCCTCGCAGAATAAATCATCTGGCTGCATGGCAGACACATTGTGCAGCATGTCCATGCCAGACAACTCCGGCTTAGAAGGCCCGGGAACAGTTGCCAAAGCCTCGAAAGCCATCATGCCTCCGGCGGGCCTTTGGGACAACTGTCGTGGGGTCCGTCTGAGCCGAAATCCTGCGCGACGTCACCTTAAGGCAGCACCAACACCCATTCTACGTGCGCTTTCTGTGTGTGGCCTGGCTGTAACTTAACTGTGATACAAAAGCCTTGCAGCACGGCATTGCTCCGGAAGGGCCAACTGGATCAGAACGGGATGGCGTTGATAGCCAGTAAAAACGGAATACTCTCCGCTCTCTCGACATCGTGTGTGGAAGCGACTGGAAGTGAGTGCCGGCTCAACGATGCCACCCAGGATGCAATTGGCACTACGCAAAGCCATTTGGCTTGCCAACCTTATTGGCATCATATCGGCAATGTAGACACCCTATCGCCTGTGGAAGACAGCACGGTCGTGCCTGCTGATGCACGTCGCGCGGGCTGTAGCCGCAGAAGCCACTACCATCCCATCCCATTGCCGCATCCAGCTTGCCTGTGATTTCTGTAACGAGTGATGTCCCCAGTATCAGTACAATATGTTGTTTCGTGTATTTGTGCACAGGTAATACAACTCATGTTTCTTGCAGCCTTAGTAGAGGGTATAGGTTATCAAAGCTGCGGCAATGAGGTGTTGCATTTGGCTTGATATTTGTTTGACAGTTTGAAGGCTTGCCCTCCAGCTCTAATGCACAGCGGCACAGCAGGTATACCGTCTTACTGCAGCGTCACTGAAACATCAGCAGTCGAATGGGGCATAAAGGGCGTCGGCAAACGCTCTTTAGTCCGATCAGGACGAACACATCGCCAAAAATACAAGACATCGCAAGGTTAAGTGGGGGCAGCGCTATGTGAGGGGTTTCTACAATCTACGACCTCGAGCAGATTCAACCTTGCCAATGATGCACCCATTACAAGATAGGACCGCACACTTCCTGTCTGCGAGCGAGGCACTTCGGCAAAGCTCCTTGTTGGGCACAAAAAGAGGCCATCCACAAAAACACATTGATGCACATGGGAACAGCTTGGACAAGGCGCTCTTAGGCTCTTGCATCTACAATTGCCGATCTTTAGCAGCGGGCAACCCGAGTGCTTGAAGGGCCCAAACCCGTATCGAAATGCAGCACCGAACTCAAGCAGTCAAAGAGCCCAGTACTTCTCTCTCTCTGCACCTCCTCGTTACTGTAGGAAGGCGGTGCAACTGTGCAGAACTGTAGTAACGCGTCCGTGTTGTCCACTTTGCGTTCAGATGTACAGCTAATCGCTTCCCACGATTACTAAACCCTCCCCTAATATTAAAACTGCCGCCCCCCGGAATTTTGTGGTTTCGGGCCCACAATTGAAAGTT